TATAATAAAAACTAGTTACGTTCATATATTTAAGTAGTTCGTAATATATTGTATTATGTAAATTTTTATATGCATTTTTCCTGTAAATACATGCCTGAGATTTTTATCTCTATTTGCAAGAAACAAAAGGCGATCAAGTAGGAAATTTTTGCCGCATGATTAAATTAAATTGCTAAGTCCTGATTTAAATCATTAATAATGCCTACTAATGGTATAACTGGTAACCACAGAAAGCATTAACAACTATTCAATTTATATTGTAAATTTGCCATTTTTCCATTATAACAAATCTTACAAAGTATTTTCTATATTGAACCACTTATAAATATTTGATATTTAAGATTCTTTTGTGTATGAATGCATGAAAATTCGAGGTTATTGAATATAGGCAAGAATCCAAAACCTGATATCGACCACAAACATTCGCGCATGTGCGTATTGAAGTTTTTTGGTCGATCAAATTACGTCAATAACAGGTAGCAAAATACATTACATTATCTGAATAAAAAATGATTTTCAAGACAGGAAAAATTATATATTACATAAAACGTCAATTATGTATAAGTAATTTGATACTTAGTTAAAAGATATTAAAAATGATAATGATTTCTACTACTAAAAAGATTAAAAAATTATCGATTTTACAACAATCTATAGATTTATAATACTTATTTCGTTCAATCCCGTTATTGCTCATTATCAATGCATATAAATACGTAAATAGTATTTACATAAACGATCAACTACTTGTTTATGTAAACAAATTAATCGCGTTATTTTGTCGTTGCTCACCATATTATTCTCTTGAAAAAGAAAAAAAATGAAACTTTGTCTTTAAACTCTGCTACGGAGTGGTGCACGGGCCCTATATAGTATTCTAAATTTCGTTATTCTTTTCTTTTTTTTCTAATTTCTTTTACTTGAACAAGTTTATAATACGATGATTCGTTAAAAAGGTATCACATCCTGGACGAACTTGAATCTGCATCTTTTCTCGTGTTATGATTTTTAAATATTGGGACAATTTTGTACTTATTAATTGAATGCTTAGAGTATGAACCGAAGATTGAACAAAAATTAAAATATTTAACGAAAATGATGCCAATTGAAATTTGCAGTGTTAAAAGCAAAATAATTGTAACACTATGTAGTATTTGTTAATTGATTCTAATTAACTAGTAAAATATACAAATTTGTTCTTCGTAAACATTTGTTAAATAATATTTTACTTATGTGCAATTGTTATTTCTACTTGCCGATATTGCACACCGGTTATGTATAAAATCTACATATTCTTTGCAATAGTCACAACAATGCGTTGCGTTTGATTACGATACGATATTAATCATGTCGTTAACTTAACATTAATTCTATTCACAAAATGAATTAAAAAAGATGTCGATAACGAACACAAAATCAAATTATCAATTTGATCTTATAATTGATAAAGTTTAATTAAAAAATCGATAAGCAAACCAAGTCCAAGATGTCTTTCGATTAACTCAAACAATTAAAAATAAAATTCCAAGTCCGGAAATTAGTCGTAGCAAAATTAACTAATATTATTTTAAACGACTTGTTTCGCTTCGGTTATCAAGTACTTTATACAACAAATCAACACGTTTCATTTCTATATAAGTTCGTCCAGAAAGAAAATTAGCATTCAATATACCTGGTGGCTGGTGTTCCATCGTCGTGTGGCGACAGAGAGAGAGACTCACGCATGTGAACACACGAGTATGAGTACTGAACAAGTATCCAAAGCTGCTCTGAAAAGATTTCATTCCATTCCGAATATCGTCTCAAGTGTTTGGTTTATTGTTTATTCTTCTGAACATTTTATTTCCCGTTGAGCGAAATCTATTGTGATCTCCAATTACAAAGTATATTCGCTTTAAATAAAGTTCGTTTAGCACGTTATTCGATATTCGGAGGAAAAATTTTTCAGATAAAAATTGCATATTTAAAAGAACTAAATAGAATGAAATGTTACTTAAAACGGACTTAAAATTAATTTAAAAACATACGACGATTTAATGACTGATGATACATAAAAATATTTCTATAATTGGAATAAAGAAAAAAATGTAAATTCAAATAAACGTTAGGATTATACTTAATATTAAGTAATAATTGTATCGATCATTTTAAATCATTCTTCCGAGTAAAGAAACGTCTTTAAGTTTGATCTCTAAACAAGTACCTAAATTATTCATTAAAAAACGATTGCTGTGAAGTAATAGGTACCAACGTAGTCATGGACTGAAAAAAGTACAATAAAATAATATCCTAGTTCTTCGTTATTAGAAGTGACTTTAAAATTAATTTAATTGCGATTTGGCTCACACATCTTAAGTGTTCGAACTACGCAACTTCTCGCTGGAACTCTTTTCCACGAGTTGATTGCACGATCTTATGATATAAACAAAAACTGATAAAACAATGATAAATATAATTAACAGATAACGATTAGTTTTCTTGATTTTTATATAAAGACTCCCAGACAAAATCTTTTAAAAACAATTGTTTACTATGTTAAATTTATATATGAAGTTGTTGTGAAGTTGATTTCTAAAAAAGAAAAAAAACGTAAAGATAATTCCGGGAGCCAAGCGGAATGAAAGGCTGTAATTCTGCTTACGAAGAAAGACGTTATATAGAAAATATTTATTTTTCGTTCGTTTGATTGAGCCACGCCGAACATCGGCGCTATATATATTCTCGCTTTACTTCACTTTCTCTCTCTCGCACTTACTTGCACACAAGCACGCACTTTCCTCGATTTTTTACATGCGCTCTCCCACATACACAAATACACGCATACACGCATACATAT